GAACAACTTTATAAGGGTATAATTCTTGAAATTTTGCCATATATTTTACTAATAAAATGTATACTAAGTATAATTACTAGAAAAGTATGGTAAAATTTCAAAAAAACTCATAAAATTCTTCAAAATGCCACGTTGCCCCACGATTACATGATTTTCAGGATAAATTTCAAGAAAACGTTGTCTCCGTGTGGATAAGTAATGTGTACGAAAACATGATTTGGAAATGCTTCTGCAGAAGTAAAATAAGGAAAGAAACAAAAATAACATGTAGTAAATTAATACTCGACACAACTGGCAAATTTCAATTAAAGAAATTCATTGCGAGATTGCGAGAAATATTACCTCAGTCAGGGTTTGAGACTGGACCTCGCTGCACCCACAGAAAAAAATTCCGGATCCAATGCTATTACACTTGAATGTATCATAAAATATGATCGATATAGCGCCAATCATATTTATTGTAGGGAAAGGAATATTTTTATCTTAAATGAGAAATTCTAAAATCTAGAATAAAATGATAGTATGTATCGTCTTTTGCTGAATACCGTGATGCCAAAAGGGAGGGAAAATTTATTATAAACGCAAGAATATATAAACTTATATTTATGTAAGTTACTCTTGTCTCAATATATTAAGTTAATCTTTTTTAATTCGATAGAGGAGAATAAGAATTAATGATTTTATTTTGATATTGTCTTATTTTTATACTGAACGAGGGTTATGAGAAATGTAAATGCGTCAAGAATATTTTTTGTCTCAGCAACAGAAATCCTTTCTGAGGGTGTACACTCTAGGGCCACTGAAGCATGTGTTAATATTATATTTATCGCAATAAAGAGTCTAATGAGGATATTTTCGAAATAAATTTCTTTAATTATCATTTGCCAGTTGCGTCGATTATTAATTTCTCACATTGCTTAATTATTTACTATGCGACAGTTAGTCTTTATTCTCGTTACAACTGATATGACTAATTAAAAATAGTGTACAGAGAGCACGTCTCATTTCTAATGTCAAATAAATAGCGACATCAGTCATCGTTTCGTTGCCAATCGTCGTCGTCTATTTTCGGGAGGAGAAAGGGTAACAATGTTCGAATCCGCGATTTGATGTAACGACTATCTCGCTTGATACAACGCGACGGACTATTACGTTCGGGATTGATCGGGAAACGTATCTATTTTCGTCGTGCAGTTCGCCTCAGCTACACGCCTTTATTTCATCGAAATAATATACGAAAGCCCCCCGTCCGCCCCTCGGCCTGCTAGTCCCTCTCAAACGTGACGTCGAATCGTATCGTTTTTCTGACGGACAGTTCCAATCACGGGTCGTCATTCGGTAGCACGCCCGTTTCTCTTTTCCTGCCTGCTCATTCATCTCTCCATCTGTTCGCATGCACTCACACCGCCGACCGTCGATCAATCGTGAATCGTAGACGGTGCTTATGGCAGGTGAATGTATCGCGCAGATAATATCGCCGCTCGAAATGGAGTCGATCGTTTGTAGTCGCTGACTTATCATATCGCGGTTGATTGGTCCTTAACGATTAGAATCCATAGCTCGAGCGCAATCTTTTTCCTCTATTTACGCGGGTTGACATAATCGCCTCTTGCACAGGCGTTTAAGAGATTACAATCGTTGACGGGAGCGCGTTATAGAAATAACAAGTTAAAATTTAACGCCAATCGGAAAGGAAAATGTAACCGGGATTTTCTTAACAAAAACTTTACAGGAAATGTAACGCATATCAAATATTAAATTTCGTGTCATTTTAATGCGACAGAGCGCCGACTCATCATTTATTAACCCTTTCATGACTACCGGCTGATACTTTTGCTTGTTCCTCGAGATGGTGTAAAAAGTGTAAAAAGAAATGAACGAAAAGTAATTCGATTATGCACAGAAAAAAGAATATTCTCCTTTTAGAAATATGTTTAGTTTCAACGTGCAAATCTTTAAATGAGATTATATTGCGCGTTAAAGGAAGAAAAACTAAATAAAGCAATTTTATATGATTCAACCAAGAAAAGTAAATGCTCATTGTTTAAGAATAATTTTCTTGAGTGGAAAGGAAACGATATTAGATAGAAAATAACATATTTTTAAATTGTAGATTATAATGATTAAAATAATTTTCTTCGCTATAAAACTTATATCTTACAATAGTAAATATTTTATAGAATTAAACTAAAACTTTTTTAAACTGTTTGTTGCGTATATACAAAACAATGAACGCGTTACTTGGAGTATATAAGAGGTGAACTGACACTTATTGTGTGAAAGGGTTGAATGATTGGCGGAAATTTTGCACGGTGGGATCGCATGTAAGTACCGACGTTATTTCTACACACCGTGCACAATGTTTCTTTCACGAAGGCCGATGTCTCCCGCTCGATTCCTAATCGTAAAGAATTAAAACGCACGTATAAATGCACGCACAAAACATTTGTACCGCGGAAAAAGGCCATCGGACCATAACGTGCGACGTACACTTCCGTTAGCGAGGACACATCGCGTCGCAAATCGGTTGAATATTTCACGAGCGGCTCGTCTCGTCGTCGCTCGTCTCCCGAGCGTAGATCGGAGGACGAGATCTCATTCGCGGCAGATAGATTCCTCCGCCACGGTTAGCGAATTGAGACGATCGATCGGGAGCGAGGAGGAAGCAGGTGTCCCTCACCGGGGCATGCGATAAATACGAGCGCGTCGAGCTGATGTGCGCTTTTTAAAATTCGGTCGCGCCCAAATGGGGCCGTTAAATAGGGGCTGCTCTACGTAATGAGCGTACGCGAGTACTCACCTGTAGGAACATTTCGCCGTCGAGGTGATGATGGTCGTAAGCAGCGAGCGCTGCCAGCTCTCTCGCCCTGTAATGCGAGTCGTGGTGCGAATTCTCCTCCTTATCCTTGTGCATCACTACTGCAACAGAGTAAAGTGGATTATAAAGATGCGTGCCCGGAAGTCGGGGAGGCCGGGGCAACGTCTACAAGTATATTTTTTTATCGTGTAAATACAAAAGTTAAATAAATCCAAATGTGATTTTTATTTCAGTAAATCCAAATTTTATTTCCGATTTGACACTTAAAACATGAAAAAGAGCCATTCCTGATCATAGAAAATATGTCGTATAAAACGATAGAGAAAATACTAAAACAGATTTTGTTTGTTATACGAGTATATTTATTTCTCCAAATAATCAAGAAATACGGAAGATCTTAACTTTATAATTCATTTTTATGAGGACTTGTCCGTTACGACTTATACATTTCACTCACCTATGCATTCAAAAATAAGTTCCCATCACGATTACACGATTTTCAATGTAAATTGTAAGAGAAAATTCTCTCCGTGCGTCTTGACGAACTGTACTTAATGTGCTTATTTATTCGCATACCTGTAATACGCTTTTAATAATTACTCCGGGACCTCGACGAGTTGATTTCTAATGTTCCCTGGCAATTTCAAGGCACGAAATGGCGACAGTGCGAAAAAAAATGGTTGCTCCAGTATGGAAAAAAGCCGCATTAACGCGATGATATACAACACCGGGGATAAAAATGGGAGGTCGGGGTAGCGTCGTTGAAAACATGCGAGGAAGGAGAGAGCGGTAGGATAATTTCGATGGTGCAATTAAATATCAATCAAGCGGTTTCGCGGCGTACTCGTCCGCGGATCTCAATAAGAGATGCTTCTCCTCCCTCTCGTGCCTCCTTTCTTATCGCGTCGGCAGTAAATCACGGGAATGATTAGAGGGCTAAGCGGGAACCATCATCCCTCGGCACACGAATGCGAAAACGAGGCAGCCACTCGTGCAACAATCACAATCGAGTCTTACGATTTCTTTCTTCCACGGAGTAAAATGCGCTACGCAGTTTCTAGTCAGCCGAGAATTTACAACGCGATTTTTACGATGCTCACAAGTGGACGCTTACTCGAAATCGTACTGAAAGCTAGCAGCGTTTGTTCTTCGAACTATGAGCCACTCAGTGGAAAACCGATAGTTAGTTTATTATATTACAAAGCGAATTTGTGATCAATCTGAGGTAATATATTTCGCAATAAATGTTCTGTATTATTAAAAATGCCAGGTACGGTCAAGAAAACACTAACGTTGTTAATTACCGCTGGCGACATTAAAGAATATTCCAATTAGTTATGTAGATTGTTTTAGTCTCTATTTTGAATTTGTTTAGCAAAAAAAAATAAAGATAGTTTGAACATATTTGTATAAAGAGAGAAAGAAAGAGCGAACGGTCGATTTAAACAAGATGCCGCATGAAGGATATTATATTCACGTGTGATTTGCATAGGCGATCGCTGATCCCGATTGGAGATTACGACTGGTGGAAAAAGGACAACGACGGACTTAATATCGTGTCTCGATAAGAGCAAAGATGTGTTTCCGGTGCTGGCCGTCCGGCCGGCGATCGGTACACTCGCTCGAATCACATAAATTCAGTTTGCCCTCGTCGCGCGGTGCGTTACATCGTTCGCGCATCGACTGCCCGGATTAAAAGTCATTAAAGTCAGCCGTAACAAACCGAGCCGTTATCAGATTTGTCATATTATACGCTGTAACGTTGCTTGCAGTTTGCAGATTTTTATGAGAGATTAGAGTGACGATGACGTCGGCAAGGGGCAACTGAAAAGGGCGACTGACACTTTTTACCGTAACGCAAATTTATGTTTCTCGGCCAGCGATAATTAAGGCGATTACTGTCAAAGATATAAATTCGGCCAACGTTTCTATGTAGACTCGATGATCGATATCAATGTCTTTTTTTGCCATAATAATATAATAAATCCGTAAGCCATTTCGATCCAGGTAGACTTTAGTTAAATTCAAGTTGCAACGCGTCGCTAAATTACGTTGCCAATTCTCACCGGAGAATAAAGGAGAAAGGAACACAACTGCACACATCGTTTAATATATATACATACTATATAACGTATATGCATACATATATAAATACATACAAGCCTCTCGTCCTAACGTTGTGAATTCATTTACAGTACCGGCCGAAATTATATCACCTTTAGCGGGTGTTTTCCGTGCATAACTTCTGTCACAGTGTATCGAATGTGCTCAAATTTTTACAGCGGACACCTGATAACGAGCGCATTTTGTACACGAAGGGTAATAAAATTTGACAAAATCCACCACAATTTTCGAACATTTCATTCGCGCGCATTGAAACTAGTTATGCTCGAAGAATCGAAGGCGATATAATTCTGGCCTGTAAGTAAAACGAGCGATTTCGGATTTTGGAGATTTCGAAAAGATGAGCTTCGTCGCGCTCTTCCGTTACTTGGACTCGTTTCGTGTTAGAAAGTGCCACCGTGCAATGTCACAAATGTAGCGCGGACAGACGCGGAAAGCCGGCGCTTTGTCTCGCGCTCGCATGTTGAAGTCACGGTGACGTTAACGCGACCGGTTTATTATTTAACACGACGGTGGTCTCGTATGTTCTAATTATGGCGCGCATATTAAGCAGGAGGCAAGCAGGTGTATGGAACTGTAACAGATCGACGGTGTATTATAGGGTTTAAAAGGAAGTGTCGCTCACATCCTGTCACGTATGTATCGCCGCCGTCGTTCCCCGGGCCCGCCGTTAATCTGTTTGCGCTTAAGTTGTTCGGACATCGATGGTCCTCGAGCTCTCGCGAGGAGGAGAGGAGGGGCAACTTCGGCGCGCGCGTTTTCGACGAAAAATTCGGCCCACTTTCGCGATCCATTATCTACACTGACGCGTAAATTACTCTACGCCGTGTAATAAAATGGTAATTACGGTACGAGTACGAGTGAGGCAGCAAAGAGACGGTTTTACGCGCGGGGCTTATCTTGAGATATAAATATTTAAGTAGAGCGTGCAAATGTATGTACGCGAAATCCTTTATGCTTAAGTATTTTGCTTTAGGTATCGAAGGTACTCGAACGTAGCTCGAACCCTCATCGAAATCCCTTTCAGCACTGTTCCATTTAAAATCCCCTCGATTCGTAAACGAATACTTAACGATACTTGTTCAGGTCCACCCTCGTGCACTTTGCAGTTTTCACTCTCACATGACACGCGAATAACAAATCATTTCGATCTCTCAATCGCTGTATACAAGTGTAACTATTCATCTGCTTGAAGTATTAATAGTACACTGAGAAAAATGCTTCGATTATATCATTAATTATATAGGGTGTACTAAAACCACCGAATATCCTTTTAATCGCAGATTCCTTAGAAACTTTCAAGACAAAAATTCTAATACAAAAATGTCGAGGCTATAATAGCTTTTAAATAATAAGCAATTACATTTCACAAATGACAGGTCTGAGATTTCGCGCACACAGGCACGGCGACATGACGAGTGATAAAAGTGTTCCTATGTGTTTCGCGAGCGAGCGAGAACCAAAGTCACCGTTTAACGCGACAGAAAATATTTTGGAAGACGATGATCCGGTTATTTTGAAAACTTGAGGATAAAGAGAGGCAGGAGACTAGATTGAATCTAATTGAAAATTCGAAGTTCACTCAGTATATCGGAGATCGACTAAATCGAAGGATATCAGTCTGATCATCACAGTGAACTCCTCCCTATAATTAATAAGACGTTACACAAAGTTAACAAAAGAAATGGTTAAAGATAACAAGAGAAACAATTAATTCGAGAATGAATCGTTAAGTCTGTGAAAGTTGTCACTATGCTAAAAAGGGCGATATTCGTAGGAACATTTTTATCACTTGTCGTATCGCCGTACCTGAGCGCGCGAAATCTCAGGCCTGTCATTTGTGAAATGTAATCGCTTATTATTTAAAAACTATTATAGCCTCGACATTTTTGTATTAGAATTTTTGTCTTGAAAGTTTCTAAAGAATTTATGATTAAAAGAATATCCGGTGGTTTTAGTACACTCCGTATAATAATAAGTATTATAATACATATAATAATAATCATATAATATATTATTACATCATTATTATTGTATAATAGAATAACAATAGCACCAGGAACAACAACAACAATTATTCTTAATAGTCATAATTGTTGTTATCGTTACTGATGTTGTTGTGGTTGTCGTTGTTGTCCTTGTTGTTGTTGTTGATGATGGTAATGGCGGTGGCTGTTGTTAATATATAATAATAATTCTATCGGTTCTATTAACTACAATTAATTGGCGAATGACAACAGATTATGCCGAAATGACCATTTTCTTCTCGTTAAACAGAGCCGCGGTTGGTCCAATATGTCGCGAACTCGAAAGGTTGTCGCGAGCGAGAAGCACTAAGCCGACGGTGGTTAGCATCGCGGAGCAACGACGCGTGCACCGGGAGATGCGCGAGAGCAGGGTGCAACGGTCGCTCGTAAATAGTCGCACGCAATGTCGTGAGACACTCGGCACCGCCGCCACGCGACCCTCTGAGACAGGATCCGCATTAGGACGAGCGCTTTTGTTAGAATGACCGCAGGATGCGCGGGCGGACGAGAAGGCCGTGATGTCCCGAGGAAACATACGCACGTGCGTGTCCTGTCACCGCCGGTCGATCGGGCAATCCGATTTTCGATTGCCCGGACGGGGGGAACCAACGGCACCGGTCGTTCGAGTCTAACGACCATGCGCTTAATGCTTCCTGAAACAAGGGAGCTCCTTCGCGACGAAACACGCGTGGACGCTCGAAGCGGTAACGATAAGACGAACGGAAGCGTTTTTGCGGGATACGTGCTGAACGATGTGAAATGTTTGCGCGGCTTCTCGAAAAACGAAAGGAAACTGTACGCACGGCGTCATTAATGCCTACCCATCTGAAGTTGCACGCGGATCGAGGTGGCGTCTTCATGGTGTAAGGAAAACAAGGTGTGCTCTTGCGCATCCATCTCTAATAACCAATGAGCGCGTTGGGCCAGCGCTCATTTGGCCCGTCACCATG